AAAGGTCTCAATTTCTTCTATTTTATGAGTTTCTGCCTTAAAATGTTTCTCCCTCCAGATCGTATTCTGATTAACAAACATATCTAGAATATATAAAGAATTTTTATAGCCCAGTAATAGGAAGGCAAATAACCCAATTAAAAAATGGGCAAAGGCTGTGAATAAAGTTCTCCAAAGATATAAATAGAAGCACACGAAAAGATGCTCAGTGTCATTAGTTGTCAGGGAGATGGAAATGAAAACTACAGCATATCTACTAGGGTGGCTGTTAAAAACAAATAAGGTGATAAATATTGGTGACGGTGTGGAGAGATTAAAACCTTATACACTGCTGGTAGGATTGGACAATAGTAATAGCCATTAAATACTTAGGATAACACTCTGGTAGTTCCTTAAGTGATTAAGAATTAAGAGTCATTTAATTCTGCATCTGAGTATGTACCCAAGACAAATGCAATCATATGTCCACAGAAAAACTTGTACATAAATGCTTGTTGTTTAGTTGCTACGTCATGTCTCACTCTTTCAGGACCCCATGGACTGTATCCTGCCAGCCTCTTCTGTCCATGAGATTTCCCAGGCAAGAATATTGGAGTGGATTGCTGTTTTCCTTCTCCAGGGGATCTTCCCCACTCAGTTTATAGCAACATTATTCATAATAGCCAAAAGGTGGAAACAGTGCAAGTGCCCATCAATTGATGGATAAACAAAATGTTGTATATTCATACAATAGAAGGTTTGGCCATAAAAAGTGATGAACTATTGATACATACCACAACATGAATGCACCTTTCATACATGTTAAGTGCAATTGCCAAGTGATAACCACAGGACTGCCAGGGAGCTCCCTGATTACTGGTTTCTTACGGTTTGGAGTGATGGGGGGATAGGGAGGTCATAACTAAAAGGTACTGGTTTCTTTTTGAGAACATGAAAATGTAAAAATTGACCATGGTGATGGTTGAATGAAATCTGTGAATATACTAAAAAGCCATTGTATGCCAAAAATGGGTGACTGAAGTGACTTAGCACAGGGCATAGTTTGAGTTCAGTTCAGTTCAGTTGCTCAGTTGTGTCCAACTCTTTGCAACCCCATGAACCACAGCACGCCAGGCCTCCCTGTCCATCACCAACTCCTGGAGTCCACCCAAACCCAAGTCCATTGAGTCGGTGATGCCATCCAACCATTTCATCCTCTGTTGTCCCCTTCTCCTCGTGCCCTCAATCTTTCCCAGCATCAGGGTCTTTTCAAATGAGTCAACTCTTCGCATCAGGTGGCCAAAGTATTAGAGTTTCAGCTTCAACATCACTCCTTTCAATGAACACGCAAGGACTGATCTCCTTTAGAATGGACTGGTTGGATCTCCTTGCAGTCCAAGGGACTCTCAAGAGTCTTCTCCAACACCACAGTTCAAAAGCATTAATTCTTCAGTGCTCGGCTTTCTTTATCGTCCAACTCTCACATCCATACATGACTACTGGATAAAACCATAGCCTTGACTAGATGCACCTTTTTTGGCAAAGTAATGTCTCTGCTTTTTAATATGCTGTCTAGGTTGGTCATAACTTTCCTTCCAAGGAATAAGCATCTTTTAATTTCATGGCTGCAATCACCATCTGCAGTGATTTTGGAGCCCAGGAAAATAAAGTCAGCCACTGTTTCCCCATTTATTTGCCATGAAGTGATGGGACCAGATGCTATGATCTTAGTTTTCTGAATGTTGAGCTTTAAGCCAACATTTTCACCCTCCTCTTTCACTTTCATCAAGAGGCTCTTTAGTTTTTCTTCACTTTCTGCCATAAGGGTTGTGTCATCTACATATCTGAGGTTATTGATATTTTTCCTGGCAAATTTCTCCCGGCAGTCTTGATTCCAGCTTGTACTTCTTCCAGCCCAGCGTTTCTCATGATGTACTCTGCATATAAGTTAAATAAGCAGGGTGACAATATACAGCCTTGACGTACTCCTTTCCTGATTTGGAACCAGTCTGTTGTTCCATGTCCAGTTCTAACTGTTGTTTCCTGACCTGATACAGGTTTCTCAAGACACAGGTCAGGTGGTCTGGTACTCCCATCTCTTTCAGAATTTTCCACAGTTTATTGTGATCCACACAAAGACTTTGGCATAGTCAATAAAGCTGAAATAGATGTTTTTCTGGAACTCTGTTCTTTTTCGATGTTGGCAATTTGATCTCTGGTTCCTCTGCCTTTTCTAAAACCAGCTTGAACATCTGAAGTTCACAGTTCTTGTATTGCTGAAGCCTGGCTTGGAGAATTTTAAGCATCAGTTGACTAGCGTGTGAGATGAGTGCAATTGTGTGGTAGTTTGAGCATTCTTTGGGATTGCCTTTCTTAGGGATTAGAGTGAATACTGACCTTTTCCAGTCCTGTGGCCACTGCTGAGTTTTCCAAATTTGCTGGCATATTGAGTGCAGCAGTTTCACAGCATCATCTTTCAGGATTTGAAATAACTCAACTGGAATTCCATCACCTCTACTAGCTTTGTTCGTAGTGATGATTCCTAAGGCCCACTTGACTTCACATTCCAGGATGTCTGGCTCTACACCATTGTGATTATCTGGGTCGTGAAGATCTTTTTTGTACAGTTCTTCTGTGGATTCTTGCCACCTCTTTTTAATATCTTCTGCATCTGTTAAGTCCATATCATTTCTGTCCTTTATTGAGCCTATCTTTGCATAAAATATTCCCTTGGTATCTAACTTTCTTGAAGAGATCTCTAGACTTTCCCATTCTGTTGTTTTCCTCTGTTTTGCATTGATCGCTGAGGAAGGCTTTCTTATCTCTCCTTGCTATTCTTTGAAACTCTGCATTCAAATGTGTATATCTTTCCTTTTCTCCTTTGCTTTTAATCTGAGTAGATTGGTTAAAGTCAGACCTAGATTTCAAGCTTGAAAAAGAAAAGTGAAAGTGAAGTTGCTCAGTCGTGTCCAACTCTTTGCGATCCCATGGACTGTAGCCTGCTAGGCTCCTCCATCCATGGGATTCTCCAGGCAAGAATACTGGAGTGGGGTGCCATTTCCTTCTCCAGGGGAATCTTCCCGACCCAGGGATTGAACCCGGGTCTCCTCACTGCAGGCAGACTCTTTACTGAGCCACCAGGGGCTCCAGTTTCAGGCTTAACAGGTCAGTTGATTAGCTGTGTCACTGTGAGAGGAGCATATTGAACCCATCTGTTTCTGTATCTGAAATAGGATTAAGAGTCATCTTCAGTTACTGAGGTTTAAAGAGCTGACCTTCTCGTAGCTGCTGTTCATTAAACCACCTTCTGTACCTGGTGCTTGAGTTTCACATCCATTCTCATTCCATTCTTGTGAAATTATGTTATGCACATTCCCTTATTATTATTTCTAACTGCAGCCAAAGAGAGAAATGAAATGCTTAATAATATGAGAACTGTTAATTCATGATTGGACTTAATCTTTTTATATAGAATATTGTGCTACTGGTGCGTTAGCAAAGATTTTTCTAGTTGAAAATTGCTTATTTTATATAAAAGAGTTATATATCATGTTTTCAAAGGAAGGAAAGTTCAGATGATAAAGGCCTGAAATATTTACTGTAGTATAATTTCACATTTATGATTTTTAAGTAAAAGTTACATTGAGTGTTGTAACTTGATTATGGAAAATTTCATTTATACACAAAGGTAGAATGTGATGAATTTTTGTTCACCTCTCTTTGACCGTGATTGACATACGATCTATCTTGCTTTATGTTTGTATTCCTCTACATCTCCCCTCCTACCCCTGTAAGAAAATGTTAGATATTATTTAATGTGTCTTTCTACTTACTGTGACAACCAGAACTACCCGTTACATTTCCAAAATATTGCCTTGATGATAATGTTAATTGTCTCTTGAGACCCATTTCTGTAGGGCATTGTGGTATGATGGGATTCTTTTAATTTCTTTACCCACCCTGAGATTTTCTGACTTCAACAGTGGAGTAAAACCTGAGTGTATAGGTGATTTTAGTGAAAGTGTGAGAAGCTTATCTAGCATAGAATAAGTAAACTTTTCTTATCTTGGTTTGGCTAGAAAGTTTGTTCTGGCTTTTCCGCAAGATACTATGGAAAAACTCAAATGAACTTTTTGGGTAGTCCAATAGTATGACACACTCTTCTGTTGTATGTTTCTGCATTTTATTCTCCTCCCTGGGAAGCCTTTCTTGAGGTTTTCTTGGCTTCTTCCTAATTATATTTTACGAAAACTCTCTATCCTTAGTACTTCCTCTGTACTTTGTGGTTTACTTGACTGCTCGCCTTCAGGGAGGAATTTTTACTTTCTGTTTCTGCATGATGTGTGTGTTCTTGTGTTCAGTTGCTCAGTCGTGTCTGACTCTTTGTGACCCTGTTGATTGTAGCCTGCCAGGCTCTTCTGTCGATGTGATTTCCAGCAAGAATACTTGAGTGGGTTGCCATTTTCTTCTCCAGGGGACCCGAACCCACATCTCCTGCATTGGCAGGTGTACTTTTTATCACTGAGCTGCAGGGCAAGCCTGTATCTGCATGATACTATTTGTTAATAGATGTTGAATGAAAGAGGTGGGGCATAAAGTCAGTATAATAGGCCAATAGTAAGAGGTTGGCTTTCTCTATATTGAACTAGAAAGGAGCAGAATTTGAGATGGAAATCCGAGGAAAGGAATATTGTAAACTTGGTAAGAGCTATGTGTAACTTGAACTACATTTAGTACCATTGATGTAAAATTGAACAAGGCTATGACAGAGAAGTGGATTATTAGGCCTTGAATATAGGATTTATGCATCTGTAATAAAATATTTGCATTAGAGATGAGTGAAATGGTAATACTCATTTCCCACTAAGATCAAGATAATGGACACAGAAAGGATATGTTTTCATATTGTTTGAGTTATTGTAGTATCTGTATTGGGGCTTTTTGAAGTACTTCTTCTAGAAACTAGACTAGATGATGCTATGTAAACATCTGTAACATATATTTATTTTGTTCTTACTTAGTTCAAGGAAGAAATCTCTAAACGTTTCAAATCACATACCGACCAACTTGTGTTGATATTTGCTGGAAAAATTTTAAAAGATCAAGATACTTTGAGTCAGCATGGAATTCATGATGGACTTACTGTTCACCTTGTCATCAAAACACAAAACAGGTAAGTTTTTAGAAACATTTTAGCTGTACACCATGAATAAATGTTTATATTTCCCTTTTAAAAATAACTAGTCTTGGCTTTAAATGATTTGCTGTCATTAATGTGTAAGTAGATTAAAATTCATTTATTTGCTGCTGTTGATAACCAGATGTTTTAAAGAAAGCCAATATGATTCAGTAATGCTAATGCTTACACATTTGATATTTTAGAATGTTCATCATCATTATTATATTACTTGAATTACAGAACAAGCAAATTAATGTTTTGAGCTGTGTTTTTTTTTGTCTCAGATTTTGGACAAAGATTAGAAGTGTGACTCATTTTCTTTGCAAACCACAAATTAGTAACCATATTTCATTAAATCTAAGGCACTATTCAGTTCTTAAGAAATACTTTTATTTGTGTACCAATAAGAAAAAATATCACCCATTAAATTGGTATATTTTCATTTAGAATTATTTTCTACTTAGTGAAAGAGCTCCTAGAGCTTCCTTAGACTTATTTGGATATGGTATTTTATCATCATTCAGATTAAGTGAGATTCAGAACTCTTAACTGGTATCAGATGGAAAGGGCTTCTAATAAACTCTCCTTATTTTTTTTAAATATTAAGTAATAATTAGTTATTTGTATTGATTTTGCAGCATTCTTTGGTCAAGTCTCTTTTTTTACTTTCAACATTTTTCGTTCTGAGTAAAACTGCTCCCCAGTCCTTAAGAATTTAGGAGATAGATTAAAAATTGCTTATGTAGTCAGGCTTTGTGATTGTGATCAGTCATTAATTCTTTTCTGTGAGGTGATCTATCTCCCTCTCTTACACAGTCAGTCAATATAATTGAAATGTTTATAACATTTTTTATGTTTATGAATGTTATGAAATATTTATGACAAGTACCTGAGGGGCAATTGAAGTATAGTTTGGATTTCATGGGATTTTGCTATATTTGTTTATGTTCATGTTCCTTGTGCTTAATTATCTCAGCATATTTACTTTACGATAATTTGAGTTGGTTTAAAAACTTTATTTGTACCTGTTGGAATTTCAGAGCTCCTTTTGAAAATAATTCGCTCCAGTGTTTATATTATGGTGTAAATTATTTTTCCTAGGCCTCAGGATCATTCAGCTCAACAAACAAATGCCAGTGGAACCAGTGCTACCACATCATCTGCTCCTAGTAGTAACTCCACATCTGGTTCTGCCACTAGCAACCCTTTTGGTTTAGGTAAATATCTTTAGTCATTTTTCTTAATGATAAAAATAAACAAATTTCCTTTTTCCCAGGATAGTTTTAAATAAGACGACAGTTAAACATTAAGTCACTCTAGCAATGACAGAAACTCCTTCAGCTTGTTTCTATAATCGTAGTTAGTAAGGGGGTATTCGGGGACACAGGTGTGCTTGCTTAGGTTGCGTTTATATATACTAAGTGATCAGTTAAGTGGCACATTTCTTTTAATAATGAAAGAGATGTATGTGTACCAGATTTGACCACCACATAATTGACTCTGGAAAAGATTAGCTAGTTGTTGATCATAAGCTAACCCCTTGAACACAATTTTCTCCTTTGTAAAATGAAAGGCTTAGATTGCATTAGTGATTTTCTAAATGTTCCAAACTCACACAGAAAGGCCTGAGTGCAAGCCCGGTGGTTAAGGATCTTCTGCATCAGCCAAAACTACTTTTCTTATATTAGTTTTTACACTGAGGTTCTTAGGAAGCGTTAATTGGAGAATAGAGTGATCTGAAGCTAAAGAAGTTGAACTGGATAGATAAATGGCTTAGTGCATCTTTCAGTTCCTAAGTTGTATGACAAGTATAACAGCTTGAAATGACATTTTAACTCGTTATTGACCAGGGGACTTTTGGCAGAAACTAACACCTGTGACCAGCAATTTTTATTTCGGCTAGCCAAAAATTAGTTCTGTTATTTTACTAATACTTTGCAGTTTATTGCATTTAGTAGTTAAACCTGACACACCTGTGCAGTCTTTTCCAGCACCGTGAGTTTTATTTTCACTTTGTGTCAGAATCAGTCACTAAAGTTTTCTCTTTGTTGGTCTGATATTCACATCATCTGAATCAGAACTGTATTCTAAAGAACTGTCATCTTCTGAGACAGTAGCATGTATATCACTTGGATATTCAGAGAAAGTATCTGCATAAAATTCACCTATTTAATTCTTCACTCAGAATTTCACGATGCGTCACTGTTAAAAATTTTACAATAATAAGTGTGAGTTTATAGTATACACGAGCTTGGAACAAAAGCCTGACAGAGCAAATGTGAATAATGACATCGTAAGTTGTGTAATGAATCCTTATACAGTTTTCATGTATCGAGGCTCATATTTTCTTTCACTTCCAGGAAAAGTTTTTTAGTAATTTATTGATAGCTCTACTGTTCCAGTTATGTTGGAAACAACATTTAGGCATGGCATTGATTCACATTCTCTCTCTCTCTCTCTTTAACGTTTGATTTAAACACATCTTGGGCTAAATGTTTCTCTTTTGGTTGAGGCAGATGAGTTTTAGATGGAAAATTGATTAACATGACTAATCTAGCAAGATCAGGATGAAATTATTTAGTGTATTATTGAGGTAAATCTCCTCCCTCAATTTTTTTTTTAATATTATTTATTTGGCTGTGCTGGGTCTTAGATATGGCATGTAAACTGTTAGTTGGGGCATGTGAGATCTAGTTCCCTGACCAGGGAGTGAACCTGGGCCCCCTGCATTGGAAGCATGGAGTTTTAACCACTGGACCACTAGGGAAGTCCCTCTTCTCTCATTTTATAGGCAAAGAAATTAAGCCCACAGAAGCTTTTAGTTAATTTGCTGATTATTTCATTTCCATCCCCTCCTATCTTGGTTACTTTTCTCCATCAGTTATTCTGTTTACCCTGTATATTTGGCTTTTTTTTTTCGCTGTGTGTTTTCATTAAGGTCTGTCCTGTGTTTAAACGGAGAAGGCAAAGGCACCGCACTCCAGTACTCTTGCCTGGAAAATCCCATGGACAGAGGAGCCTGGTAGGCTGCAGTCCATGGGGTCGCTAAGAGTCTGACACAACTGAGCAACTTCACTTTCACATTTCACTTTCATGTATTGGAGAAAGAAATGGCAACCCACTCCAGTTGTTCTTGCCTGGAGAATGCCAGAGACGGGGAGCCTGGTGGGCTTCCGTCTGTGGAATCACACAGAGTCAGACACGACTGAAGCAAATTAGCAGCAGCAGCATGTTTAAAAGCAACAGAATCCCACTACCACCTTTCTTTTTCTTTCTCAGCTATCTTTGGAAAAGATATATTCTGTTTTCTGTCTGTATTTCTCTTTCACTCAAGTTTGCTGTTCTCTATTTCTTGCCCCCATCACGTCCCTTGATAGTCACCATTGACCTCTTAGCTTGCCAAATTTAATGGACACTTTTTTAGATTTTTAGACACTTAGATTGAAAGAAAGTGTTTTAAAATCTAAATTGCTGTCTTCTAATACTTACCAGTCTGTCCTTGAAATTTTTTTTAATTCCTGATGTGCTTTTTCCCTGGTTAATTTTCTGACCAGTTTTTTTCTCTCTCATTTGTGGGTCTCTTCTTCCTATTCCTTTTATTAGTATTGTTCTGCCGAGTTCTGCCTTCTCTTTCTTCTGTTCTTTTATTCTGTTTTCCCCACTGACATTATCCTAACTGTAAATTGTTGACCCTCGAATCTACCTAAACCGACATCAATTCTGAACTCCATGCCTTGTATTCAGCTCTCTTTGATATTACCTGATGTTACTCTTAAGTACTTTAGCCTGTATGTTCCTTCTTAGAAAGCAAAGAACAACAAAACAAATAAATTCATCATCTTGTCTCAGACTACTACCTCTCCAGCCAAGTCTCTTGGTCCATAAAATCTTTTCTCTCCCACCCCATGTAATGATTCTATCCTGTTGCTACTGCCTTGATGTAGTTCCTCCACTTTTAAAAATGTTTATTATTCTATGTCATTTCCACACTGTTATTAAAAATATCTTAAGTGACTGTCTTGCATTTAAAATACTTCAAGATTTTGTGATGTAGCCTCTCCATTTTAATTTAACGTTCTGCACAAGTTACACTGGTTAGGATAGGCTATCCTGTGGTAATGTGTCTGCTTAGTTGCTCAGTCATATATGACACCTTGTGACCCCTTGGACTGTAGCCCACCAGGCTCCAGGCAGGAATACTGGAGTGGGTTGCCTTTTTCTTCATGACTTTTTTTTTTAACTGAAGTATAGTTGATTTTACTGTCTGCTGTGCAGCAGAGTGACTCAGTTATACACATACATAAATTTTAAGAATATCCTCTTGCATTATAGTGTTCCTCAAGATGTTTAATGTAGTTTCTTCTGCTGTGCGTTCGGGCCTTGTTTATCCGTTCTAAATGTAATCGTTTGCTCATTCTGCGTGTGTTTCACTGGTCAGTGAGGCCTCCATCTGCATAGTCCTCGGGGACTCAAAACTAATGCAATTCTACTATCTTGTAGCTGCACCATTTGGAATATGGCAGAAGATAGAGCTAAAGTGTTTTAAACTGGACCTTATATTCTAAACTTGGGCCAGAAGTGACACATACCATTTCTTACAGTCCTTTGGCTTTAACTAGTCACATGGCAGTTTGTTCAACTGCCACAAGAAAAGAAGACTGCACATGAGATGTTTGGTGAGCACGGGTGTCTGCTCTTTTGGTCATACTGAATTTTTTGTAGTTTAAGAATGTATCAGTTCTCACATTTATATCTGTGCTTTTGTAGATAATGTCTGTTGTGCCTAGTATTAAATTGTGCCCCCAGCTCTCCCTGCTTCTTGCCCACTTACTCATTTTCCAAATTGATTAAATGTCGTTTTGTGGAAGAGTAGCCATTTCGCTTTTAATATATTATCTTTTAATATATTAAGGTACTATTAATATATTATCATGATATTCTGTGACAGTCTCTGTTGAAATACTTATTCTGCATTTATGTTGGCTTTCCCACCAGATTAAGTTCTGAGGGTATGCTTGTCTTTCTTGTCACCTTATACCCAACATATAACACAGTGCTCAGTAAGTGAGAAATGAATGCATTTGGTTGGTTATATACAAAGTTTTACAATAAACAGTCACCCTCCTGAATCTGTTAGGTTTCTCCATGATTTAATTCTTTTAGAGAGACATCTGTTTCCATGATGGGCAGCAGCTCTGTTCCAACCAGTCATCGGTGAATTCTACTTGTTAAACTAGTCACTAGTCTTCTGGAAAGAGATTATTAGAAGTATAGTCTTCTGTATATTTTTCATTTCTTCTTTTAGTGGGCATAGTCTGGGATTTTTTTCTCTCTGATACCAGCCAGTTCTCCAACACTGCCTGGGTGGGTATCTAGTAGTTCAGTTCTGACACTAATACCTGGAGTTAGTGTTAGAACCCACAAGTTAAAGGACTTGGTCCCCTGTGACTGCCCTTACTTCAGATACCAGTCCAGTCCTAGGCTACCTGTACTTCTGACTGACAGGCTGTAAATTGGGGGTTCCCACAACCCCTTATCAGGTTTGATGATTTACTCAGGTGACTCACTGAACTCAGGAAAACACTTCACTTAAATTTACCAGTTTTTTTATAAAGGATAGACCTCAGAAATAGATCAGTGGAAGAGGGGGAGAAGTGTAGGGCAAGGTATGGGTGTGGGGGGTGCGGGTAGAGTACAGAGCTTCTGTGCCCTCTCTGGGCATGTCACCCTCATACGATGTAAATGTATTCACCAACCCAGAAGTTTGTGAATCTCATTGCATAAGAGTTTCACAGAATTTCATCTCTAGATCCTCTTCTAGCCCTGGAAATTGTTGGATGGGCTGAACATTCCAGCTCTCAAAAAATCACATGATCTTTCTGGCGACCACCACATTCTGAGGCTATCTGGGGGCCCCATCCTAAATAATACCATTAACATAAATGAAGTATGATCTAAAGGGACTTGTTACAGACAACAAAAGACATTCCCTTCTGTCAGGAAATCTTGAGTGTTTTAAGAGCTCTGTGCCTGGAACCAGATGTAACAAACAACCAAATAATGTTTTTGTATTATACTGTGCATAGGAAATACATGTTTATTTGGTTTTATTATTTAAATATCAGAGTGAACACATTTATTACTAGTCTCAATTATAGAAATTAGACATGTACTTACGAAAGTAATAGGAAATCTATTTTTGCCTTAAGCTGAATGGTTTTCTGTTAATGCTATTGATTCAGTTAATATTTTTGCTTCATCTTCATATTTTAGCACAGTCATATTAATGATAAAATTTCATTTGTGTATTTTCCCTTTATCTTCTTAGGTGGCCTTGGAGGACTCGCAGGTTTGAGTAGCTTGGGTTTGAATACTACCAACTTCTCTGAACTACAGAGCCAGATGCAGCGGCAACTTATGTCCAATCCTGAAATGATGGTCCAGATCATGGAGAATCCCTTTGTCCAGAGCATGCTTTCAAATCCTGACCTGATGAGGCAGTTAATTATGGCCAATCCACAAATGCAACAGTTGATACAGAGAAATCCAGAAATTAGTCATATGCTAAATAATCCAGATATTATGAGACAAGTATGTAAATAGTTTCATTTAGTTAAGAAATTATATACTTATTTTTTCTTATTTTCTGTATTTAAAGAGCTTGCCAAATACATAAGCTAAAAAAAATAAACCCTAATCCTTGTTCAGGAAAATACAACAAAGCACTAATTCGAACTATCTGAACTTTGAATTTTGTGCTGTATTTTAAAGGTTTTTTTTAATAAATAGTTGTTTTGCAGATCTAAGGAACAAAGAGTCCAATTCAAGAGATGGACATTCCCGCAGAGCACAGTGTTTCTCTCTTGATGTTATTTGAATGTTAGCTTGCGTTTTGAGGTGATTTTCAGCGGGAACTATTCACAGTAATTTTCTTTTTTTTTTTTAAAAAAATTAATTTTTTTTTTAACACCAAAAACATTTTGTTGTGGAGTAAAGTTGATTTACAGTATTGTGGTAGTTTCAGGTGAACAGCAGAAGGACTCAGCCATACATATACACATATCCATTCTCCCCAATTCACAGTAGTTTTCTGATTTAAGTATTGAAGATTGTTAATTCAGAGAATTAGAAAATGAGCTATGACAGTTAATCTCAGCATCTTTTTCCTCTCTCTGGAAATCTTTTTCTTAGACTTTGGAGCTTGCTAGGAATCCAGCAATGATGCAGGAAATGATGAGAAACCAGGACCGAGCCTTGAGCAACCTGGAGAGCATCCCAGGGGGATACAACGCTTTGCGGCGCATGTACACGGATATTCAGGAGCCCATGCTGAGTGCCGCCCAAGAGCAGGTAACACCACTGCGCTGTGCTTCAGGGCAGGCTCCTGTTCCAACACAGATACATCTGTGATTGAACGTTGTGTTTGTATGCAAAATGCAGTTTTCATTAACAAAGATTTCTGTGTCTGTTATTTAAGACAAAAAGTTACTCTTTATGATTTTTTTGTCTTTTATTACAGTTTGGTGGTAATCCATTTGCTTCATTAGTGAGCAATACGTCGTCAGGTGAAGGTAGTCAGCCTTCCCGTACAGAAAATAGAGATCCATTACCCAATCCCTGGGCTCCACAGGCTTCTCAGAGTTCATCCGCTTCCAGTGGCACCACCAGCGCAGTGGGGGGCACCAGTGGTAGTGCTGCCAGTGGGACTGCTGGGCAGAGTTCTACTGCACCAAATCTGGGGCCTGGAGTAGGAGGTATGCTCGTGACAATTGATGCCTTTTCTCTTGTTATCCTGTGTGCTTTTGTGTGTGTTCTAGGAACAACTTTTATGAACTACTTTTTCATTTTGTAAGGTGCCTTTTTTTTTCCTTAAGGATGCTTTAAATATGTAATGATTAGTGCTCGCTTCAGCAGCACATATACTAAAATTGGAACGATACAGAGAAGATTAGCATGGCCCCTGTGCAAGGATGACACGCAAATTCGTGAAGCGTTCCATATTAAGAAAAAAAAAGTAATGATTAGTATTAACTTGTGTGCATTGTAGTTCAAGAGGTTACCAGAGATTTCCAGAGGCAGTTTTGTGGTTTTGTCTTCTCATAAGATGGCTCGGGAGAAGTGGATTGTCTTCTCCTTTCAACAGCTTAGGGAAGATGAAGTGTAGGGGCAACACAGTTAGCCATGTACTTAATCAGTGGGGCACATTTTCCTTGGCTTTAGTGCAGATTTATGTTCTTCTATAGGACTTAGTGGGTATCCACTCCTGACAGCAGGGCTAAACTTAGCTGAGTCAGAGCACCTGCTGGCTTTGTTTTAAAAGTCAGCTTTCTAAGTCTTAACCTCAGACCTGTGGATCAGAATCTGCCACAGTGGAGTTTGAGATGTGTGTGTGTAAAGATGCTAGAGATTCTGATGTGTGAGCAGGTTAGGAATTTACTTTCAGTCATTTTTCTGTAGACTAGATTCAGTAAGTGGCTATCCTTTTCAGTTATTCAGATATTTACATGCTAAGCATTAGGTCCAAAATCAGTAGCTAGAATGATTATTTTAGTCTTAATACTTAGCATTTAAAGGAGAAGAAATGAAAGCATGAGGCCACTTCCCTCAGGTGAGAGTAATTGGGTATATTTTAAAAGATAACTGTGTTTTGGCAGTGAAACTGGAAAGATGAGATATGGAATATAGGAATATTTTAGTATTCCTATATAAGTATTCCTTACTGAGTATAAGGAATTTTTAAAAATTCTTTACTGAGAGGCAATAATCAGAATGGTCACAGAAGAATATATTCTTTTATAGAATACAGTGAGTATAATGAGATTTTTGGATAAATTACAAAGTGAAAGTCGCACAGTTGTGTCTGTTTGTGATTCCCATCAACTGTAACTTGCCTGACCCTTCTGTTCATGGAATTCTCCAGGCAGGAGTACTGGAGTGGGTTGCCATTTCCTCCTCAGAGGATCTTCCCGACCCAGGGATCAAATCTGGGTCCCCTGCATTGTAGACAGATTCTTTACCAACTGAGCCACTAGGTAGCCCTAGAATACAAAATAGTTTTGTAAAAATTTAAATAATGCCATTTAAAAAAATTGAGGTACTATTGACATAAAATATTATATTAGCATCAGGTATAAAGTGAAGTGATACAGTATTTGTATTGCAAAATGATTGCTGTGATAAGTCTCGGTCAGTTCAGTCACTCATTTGTGTCTGACTCTTTGTGACCCCATGGACTACAGCACACTAGGCTTCCCTCTCCATCACTAGTTCTGAAGCCTGCTCAAACTCATGTCCATCCAGTCAGTGATGCCATCCAGCCATCTTATCCTCTGTTGTCCCTTCTCCTGCCTTCAGTCTTTCCCAGCATCAGGGTCTTTTCCAGTGAGTCAGTTCTACGCATCAGGTGGCCCAAAGTGTTGGAGTTTCAGCTTTGGCATCAGTCCTTCCGATGAATATTCAGGACTGATTTCCTTTAGGATTGACTGGATGGATCTCCTTGCAGTCCAAGGGGACTCTCAAGAGTCTTCTCCAGCACCACAGTTCAAAAGCATCAATTCTTTGGTGCTCAGCTTTCTTTATAGTCCAACTCTCACATCCATACATGACTACTGGAAAAACCATAGCTTTGACTAGATGGACCTTTGTTGGCAAAGTAATGTCTCTGCTTTTTAACATGCTGTCTAGGTTAGTCATAGCTTTTCTTCCAAGGAGCAAGCATCTTTTAATTTAATGGCTGCAGTCACCATCTGCAGTGATTTTTGGAGCCCCCCCAAATAAGGTCTGTCACTGTTTCCATTATTTCCCCATGTATATGCCATGTGTTGGGACCAGTTGCCATGATCTTAGTTTTCTGAATGTTGAGCTTTAAGCCAACTTTTTCACTCTCCTCTTTCACTTTCATCAAGAGGCTCTTTAGTTCTTCTTTGCTGTCTGCCATAAGGGTGGTGTCATCTGTGTGTCTGAGGTTATTGATATTCCTCCCAGCAATCTTGATTTCAGCTTGTGCTTCATGCAGCCCGGCGTTTCGCATAATATACTCTGCATATAAGTTAAGTAAGCAGGGTGACAGTATACAGCCTTGATATTCTCCTTTGTCTAGCTCTAACTGTTGCTTCTTGACCTGCATACAGGTCATGTCTAAACATCCAAAGTTTAAGTCTAAAAATCCAAATAAACCATGTTTAAAACAAGGAAAATACTATCCTATTCTGATTTTATCAAAGGCTTATTTGATTTTTACTGATAAGCTTTTTTTTTAATATGAAATAATTTTTATAAAAAAAATATTACAATTGTATTATCATTAGCCTTCAAACTAATTCCAAAGCAGCTCTTCTTTTCTCATATTATAGAAACATTTATCTAAGTATTATGTCCATTTATTGCCAAAATAACATTTTACAATATAATGCTGTGTTTACTAAAATCTAATCCATTGATTTTTACTGATAAACTTTTGAGAGAGATGCTTCATTCACATTTTAGAGGTCTAAGAGCAGAGACAATGGTTTAATAAGGTTTCCCAGCTGATAGACAAATTATTTTTAATTGTAGCATGGTGTCTATAGTAACAACTTTGTCTTACAAACAAAATGGTCTTGTAACTTTTTACTCAGCTTTTTAATTTAATGGCTTGATATGCTATTTAAGATTTCATGTTAATATTTCCATCAAAGCAAAACAAGAAACAGAATAATGATTGTACCCTGATGGCCTAACATTGTTAGCATATTTTTATACTATTAGGACCTTTAGTCAACTATTTGAAGTTAAGCACACGTATACCTGAAAGGTGAAATTCTTTACTCTTCTTTTGCCCTGTAAGCACTCACTCTGGAAACTGAGGAAATTGTTGAGCAAGGGTCAGCAAATTTTTCTTGCAAAGGGATAATAATACTTTAGGCTTTGCAGGCCAAAAGCCAAAAGAACAAAATCAAGACTATTTTATTAAGAAGGGAAGAGAATTCCCTGATGATCCCAGTGATTACAACTTGCTTTCACTGCACGGGGCACGAATTTGATCCCTGGTCAGAAAACTAGCCATGCAGCATGACCCCCCCCCCCCCCAAAAAAAAAAAAAAGAATATTATATGAGAAGACCAATCTCCACAAGTTCTTTTATTGATGGAATTAAAAATATAATAATTGGGTATAATATTATTTTTGTTGTTCGGTTGCCCAGTCATGTCTGACTCTTTGAAACCCCATGGACTTCAGCATACCAAGCTTCCCTGTCCTTCATCAACTCCTGGGGTTTGCTCAAACTCTTGTCCATTGAATCAGTGATGGATTATATTGTTTTACACATTCCCTAATGGTAGGAATGGAATTCTTTTTAGGGATGACATTTTGCTTAAAGTTCACAGTGTTTCCTTTTGTCAGTTGCAAATCATTTGTAAATGTTCATCTATTAATACTAATAAGTAATGATATTTTACTTTTTTCATTTTAATTATGTATTGATTCCAAAAATAGGACTATAGCATATTCATTAGTTGGAAAGCATTTGTAGGATTCTGTCAGGGTCTTCTTGGTTTTTTAACATGTCATTGCAGATTAATCAACTCCAATTGAAGATTAAGTCATAGTGCCCCAGTTATACAGTGAAATGAATTTTAAAGTATGGAGATTTCTTTGTACTTGGCACTAGGGTCCAAAAAATGCTGCTGGAACAATAATATGAGCTCAAAACTATATTTACGGCAAATCTGTGAAAAGAGATCTTGTTGCTTGTTTTAACTTGATAACACAAGAATGTATAAAGCAGCTTGACATTGTGATTCAAACAATTTCACTTGTCAGAATGCACGTCACAGTATGGGTTTGACATGTTAATGTTGTTTTGTCTTCTAATTTAGGGAATTCATTGAGAAACATTGCCAGGTTCTAGCAGAAGATAATTTCCAAAGTCATTTAGTGTTTGATAATGGTGATTGTGTGGTTCAGAAGAATTTCAGTCTTAGCTCTGAGCTTAAAAAAAAATTGCAATAAAATTGTATCTTTTTAAAAACAAAACTAGGAAGCTACTACTCTTAAGCCATCAAACTGCCATGTGCTTGGGCAAATTAGGATCTTTCTGACAAAAGTTCATGAAATTGACTATAGCTAAGTTCACAAGAGTGAAATGAAATTTATTATTGATAACTTTTATCAGTTGAGTAAATGTTAAAGTTCAAAATATTTTCCAGAGTACCAGCTGATGAATCAGTGGGTCAACTATCATCTAAATACCTTATATTTTTATAAGCAGTATGTCTTTGTCCAACTAATCCTTTTAATACTTTACATGTGTTCTTATCATCATGCGATGTAGCACATCTTAGCAGATTCTACTTCTCTGTTGTACCAAATGAATGTTCTCTTAACTTTGAAAATAGTTTTGCTTGTTGTTATTTCATGCAGACTATAGAAGCTAATTTTAGTTAACTTCCATCTTGACATTGTTGCCTCAAACAAGGACTGAGCAGTATCAGTAACATTTATCTATTCATTAGGGACCAAGGAACACTACTCAAAATAATTCGTGTTTTTAAATTATCAGTTAACAGCTCAATGTCCCTAACTTTTGAGAAATTGTTCTCCTTGAAAGGCGAGTAGCCTCAAACAAGTTTATTTTCCCAGCACACATTTTCCTGGGTGCTGCAGTCAAGATTTAAATAACCATACTAACTAATCATAACTAGGATGCTGCTTTCCTTGCTTGGCTAACAAATAAACCATTTGGGCACCTAACTTTGGTTGCAGCTTTATTCTC